CTCATCCATGTCCTTCTCTGGTTGGCTGCCTTCCTTTCCCGCATGCCATTGGATTGCAGAGAGACACGGGATTGGCTGAGACCAGGTGGTCCAACATGTCTGCGCCCTAGTCCGACGCCACAGCCACACCACACCACGCCACACCACACCGCAACATACCGCGCCACAACACTGCCACAAAATTTTAGTAGCGTAAGCTTGGAAACTTTCCTTGCTCATTTTGTCCTATGTGCTTAATTTACTTAGCGAACATGCCGCAATCACTACGATTGACGTCTTCCAAGTACCAATTATCGAATAGTATTCGTAACAAAGATAATCTGGCCATGTGAAATTTAGCATGTAAATAATGACAAGATCATTACCTTACTTGCTCTCTTACTAGCACATATTACCCAACTATTGTGATAAGATCTTATTTTTAACGATTCCTTCTTCGTGTTTTCCCTTTCCAATCTATGTTTGGTTTTCGAAACTATAAAAATTGTCTTGTAGGAATATTAAGTGTTGATGTGTACTAATTATTTATCTTTATACTGACCCTCAAGTGGCCTTTACCACTGATTTAGTAAAAAGCAAATGTAGGTTGGTTATATCTAAGCTCTCCCGCTCAGTAATTGCTTGTAGCCTCCTTATGCATTGTCCAAATGTTTAATTGTCGTCATGAGCGAAATCGTGTTGCTCATGCAGCTAGGTGTTTTCTTTTAAAATTTCCACGTTCTCGTATAAATTTCGAGTGGTTAACCCGAAGATTCCCTCTTGACTTTATCTTGCATTCCCTGTGTTGATGCTTTGAATATCGGTTTTCTTGAAGGCCACCACAAAATGTAGTTACCGAGAGCGGCAAGCCACCGATCAGCCTTGTTAAAATTTACTATCGCTTTACATCTTACATTGCCTTCACATTTGTATTGTAAACATGTAAAGCTAAAGAAACTCATTTACAAGTTTGATTAGACCAGGAATCAGAATTATCTGTTTGCTTCTCAGGCTTCTTTAAAGCGCAATGCCAAGTTCCGAGGACTTTCCAAAGTTGAAAAATGACGTAATTCTACGTGCGGCTAAAGGCCTTCCAGTCCCTTACACCCCTGTCTGGTTGATGCGTCAGGCCGGTCGTTATCTGCCCGAGTTTCGAGCAATCAGAAAAGAACGCGATTTCTTTGATATATGCCAGACCCCTGAGCTGGCTTGTGAAATTACGCTTCAACCAATTAGGCGATTTCAGCTCGATGCTGCCATCATATTTTCAGATATTTTAGTTATTCCACAGGTGAGTTCTAATTTTTATTGAAGCACGTTAGTTCGGAAGAGAGGGTAATTCATCAAATCGTCAACCGTTTTTGCAACATGCGGAATATGGCATTTCAATCAAAGAAGAATTGAAAATATGAGGATTCCGATTGGTCTTTTTTAAGTTTTAGTTTGGTAGCTCGTTGTCTGTGCTCTTTTGTTAGATGGTCATGCGGTTCACTCTGATATCGTCACTAAGCTTTATTAGCCGTGTTCCCTTAAAACCTTCGGTGCATTGTTGGGTGTTTTACAGAGAAATATTGATTCTAAAGAAAAGTTATGATCGTGCTTTTCTAATGGTTACTTCTCTTTACTAACATTGAGACTCCTGTGGTGGACCCACGAAGCCCTTGGCTCCTTATTTGCTCTACCTCAATTTACTCCCAAGGCCCTTGGAATCGAGGTTACAATGAAACCTGGTGAAGGTCCTAGTCTGTCGAGCATTCTGGTTAAATCTGATGACCTTGAGCGCCTCGACTGGGAAGTTGACGTGCGGAAGTCGTTACACTACGTCTACGAGGCAATCACACTTACGCGGCACCGCCTTGAGGGGCTTGTGCCTCTCATCGGTTTTTCCGGGGGACCATGGACTCTGATGACTTACATGATCGAGGGTGGTGCATCCAAAACCCTCGCCAAGTCGAAACGGTGGCTCTACACCGATGCCAACGCCAGTCACAGACTTCTTGGTCTATTGACTCGAGTTATTGTTGATCATCTTGTGCAGCAAGCCGTTGCGGGGGCTCAACTTCTGCAGGTTTGTGAATTCTGCACGTCTCGGTATACTAAGACACTTCGGATTTTGAAATACCCTACACTTGAACAGATATGACAAAAAGCTTAAAAATAACCCGTATACTGCACTTAATTACCAAGGTCTACTGAAAATAACCAAATTCGAAGTTGTAAAACATGGAAAAAACGAACGATTTATTGGGAAAGGTTTCCTTGTGTGAAACAGTGGTAAGTGAATCAAGGAGTCTATATTTTAACTCTGTATTTGTGTGCACAAAGGAGCGATTTTCAGGCGCCCAAAGTTCACAATCTAGTCGTCGACACTGAAATGCACTCGACGACCAAAAAAGGATGCGTTTCTTCAACACATCGGTTGTTTTTTGTCATGCATAAAATGCATACCCATCGAAGAAGAGTCTAATTTTTCAGCGCTTTTTGCTGTTATTTTTGCGTTTTAGTTTGTAGAATGCTGTATACTTCTACGTAGGAAAGTAAATTGGCAGTTTCAACAGTTTTGTCACCCTGATCGTTTATCTGTAGTGAACTTTTGGACTTGCTCCCTTTAGCACGTTTGTTCAATTTAACTTTAGTATATATGGCTTTCTTTTTCATTAAGACTTTAACCTACCTGAATCCCACCTAAGTAATTGACTTGTGGGCACAAGGACTGTCGTCCCAGGAAGCCCACTGTGCCCCCCTTCGGCAAGAGGTACAAAGTCGACCAACCAGGTCCTACTAATCGCCTGATCGTTTAGAGGCCTTGGTTCATTTAAACCTACTCCACCCATTCCCACATTGTTCAACACTAAGACTAGTGGTTTCTGGCAGTTTAAAGTGAAGCGAACGACTCTTTAGCCAGATTAACTAAAAAGTTAGGCGCTTCAGTTTCGGGTATCTTAATGTGGGTCGCGACTACGCTGGCAGGTTGAAGTGGATACTTTACTAATCTCCTTTATTTATATGTGGTGGTCTTAATCAGCTATTCAATTGGAAGAGAATAATAAACCGCCTATCTTTCGTTCTAACAGATATTCGAGTCTCACGCCGGTGCTCTTACTCCACAGCTCTTCAACACCTTCCTGTTGACTTACCTGAGGCAGATTTACCTGGATGTGAGAAACCAGCTCTTAAACAGGTTTGGCTTTAAAGATGATGATTGCCCTCCGATAATAATGTACGCAAAAGATGGCCATTTCGCTCTTAAAAGCATCGCTTCAATCGGATTTCAAGTGATCGGACTCGATTGGACAGTTGATCCAGCTGGAGCTCGTCAAATCGTTGGTGACAATGTCACTCTACAGGTATGGGTCGGATTTTGTGACTGGCGTCTTTTTGGTTTTCAGGCGCTTTCGAATGTGTTCGGGTTCGTGCGTAACCGTCGTTTCAACACAGCTTGTGTACTTAATGGGTTAGATTACTTTGAACGTCGCATTATAATTAAGTCGATGATAAAAATGCAGTCACTCATGATCAATTAGCTAGATTCAGAGTGATTGTCCACTTTTCGCCACTAGCATGTAACATTTGTCATGTTATTTACGTATAACCGTTTGTTTCACTATACTGGTTTTGTTGGAAGACTCTTCAAAGTAGGAACTAGTCGATAACCGCAATAACAATTTGACTTACCGGATTATTCTGCTCTTCTTCGGTTCACATGACGAGCGTTGTTTTGGGTGACCCTGAAAGGAACTGGAAGTTGTTCTCTTGCCTTTATCACCCACTTCAAAAGTTCTGTGTGCAAGAGGTTTTCGGTCTCTTCATGTTCAGGCTTGTAGTAGTGACTCGTAGTGGTGACTCAAGAATGCACGTAAGTAGGTATATCGACGCTGCGTGTATTTCCAGTCTTGCCTAAATTCCATGCTTTGAGTACGTCATGCCTTACCCTCATTGTGTGTATTCGGGAGAACAACAAATTTACATGACTCACGTAAGTAGGATATTTATTCGCTCTATGTGGGAAGATTATTTCAGGCACTTGTCTTATGTGGGTGGATGACCTTTCAAGTGCGTCGCTAAATGCAATTCTACCGCAAATTTTGTTTTCGCAATCTTCTCTTCCAGTACGACTGCTTGTGTCTATTGAGGCTTCTTTATTGACATCTGGACACTCGGTTGCGTAGCGCATTAGGTAAACTTTTGGTTGATTGTCACTTTGAGTGAGTAGACTCCTCATGTTCGATGCTTATTTCTATCCCTTTCTTAAGTCTAGTGACCGGTCACTTGTGATAGCTGGGCGAGTTTATTTCTACTCATGTTTGATCGAAAGAAATGAGAAGACAAGTATTGAGTCAAGCGATAAATGGTGTTATCTGGGTCTACTGGAAACAATGAGGAATCGTGATTATTTACTCATTTTCATGCGGGCCACATTCTTTGTCACTTTTGTAGGGGAACCTCGATCCCTGCGCTTTGTATTCATCCGAAGAAGATCTAGAGAAACGCGTAGTTGAGATGCTACGTTCTTTTGGTTATGGGGGTCGACATATTGCAAATCTTGGTCACGGAATTTACCCTGACATGGAGCCTGACAAAGTGGCCACCTTCGTTGATCTTGTGCATCGACATTCTTCGCGTCCTCATTCGACAAGTTGAGACATTGTTGGCAATTGACCTGCTCAGGGAACCTTAATTCGTACTATTGATGGGGCCTTTAGTTTTTGAATGCAACGATTTCTGTGCTCTCTGTTTATGTTGACTTGTTTTTTGGTAGTCGCAGGAGCCCTTCCTTGAATGTGCTAAACAAACAAACCCTGTCACTTCGCTCTTGACACACTTGCAATTAACTGAGGACATAGAGGACGATTGACATATGCTCTGGAGCCCGTCGGTTTTTATCCGAATGGAGAATAGGTTCCACGACCTGTCGCCGCGAGGGTGGGTGCGATTCTGCAGTCAGTTGAGATTCGTATCTGATAGTGTGTGTGGGTGTGTGCAGACGCATTAATCGTCAACAAATTGATATATGGACTGACGTCTGATATTATACATGGACTTGAACCGATCTTTCAAATAAAGTTACAATAGGAGAAGAGCACGTATGTTATGCTGTTTGGGTTTTTGTACCCATCATTCGACTGAGCTTTAATCGCCAATAGATTTCGTCATGGCCTCAAATATTTACTGTCGCTAACTCCCAAACACTCATAGTTTTTTCGCGGGCCACTGGGTAGTTTTGTTTTCTCCATTTATTATGTTTCCCTGCTAAATAAATGCTAAGACTACCGCTTTACATGAACATACGCCCAAATGCTGCTTATTACTCTAGCATAATATTAACGTCTCGAAATAACACAATAATTTCCCTTTTCCTTAACAGCCATTACATTGCACTCTGAGTGGCCTTGAGGCAAATGAGATACGTGTTTCCTCAATGTACCAACTCGAACGTAATTTTTACAATCATAGTATTCACGATGAGTGCGAAAGTGCTTCTGGAAATGAATAATTACTGCCACTTAGGTTCAGATCGTATTCATGACGTCTTATATTTGGAAGCGCCAGAATGCATTGCCTGTTTTAGATCATTTCATGATTTCACATGAGGTGATACAGAATTTCTTGGTAAATCATCGTTTGCGACGTAGTAGATGAAAACGATCAACTAACACTGCAATGGCTTGAGTTTGAATCAGGACTGCTTCCTATTGAGAGAAATGCAGTAAAACTTTCTAGGATTGTTGCACGATGTGTCCGAATGTTGATGGCATCCAACTGCATATATTTTGGAAAGGCTACAACAAATCGAATTGGGACACTTACGGAGTCAGTAGACGGCAATTTTCGGGTAGTTTACATAAATTGGATGACAAGCAGTTCCAGTAATTAAATCAACCTTAATATTGGCTTCAACAATTTGCCAGTAAAAAGCATAATAGGCATTTGGAACAATGACGAAATTTGTGCGTGATTTGAACTCATCCACAACATGGACATTCATAAGAATTGGCGACCTGTTTGAAGAAAACCCATGACTGGTTCAGCATACAAGACTTTAGTGACCAATGACAAGGCAGAACCAAATGTCAGGCTCCGTCCATCTCATGTAGCGTGCTTGGGTAGGATAAAATGTAAGGACGAATAAAAAGGTTTATTGAATCAAATATTGATGTGGGTCTCTGGTATCGTGGTTAGGTTTGTTGTGGACAAGGGGTTTCCTTAAATACTCTGTCCGGATTGCTCTTGTCCGCCCATTGGCTCCGGCTTAACTTCTATAAATAGATAAACAAACTCCTGAGGTCATTAGCTACTCGGGCTTTGGCGCCTATTCGAAACTTAAATGCTCCTCGCAATCGGAAATTACGTGATGTCGCTCTCACATCGCGCCACTGGTACTTGACTATGGCTAGATGCCAAGATGGCGTCCCTCTGCCTCCACGCTACACTAACTCCACCACGCTGGCTTCACTACTCACTATGTACCGCTTCTCATTCGTGTCTGTCTTTGGTTAGCTGCATATTTTTCTTTCTCGATGCCATTGGAACGCAATGGCACAGGCAATTAGCTGATACTGAAAAGATCCAAAATGTCTGCACCTTTATACGATGCTACTGAAAATACCCAAGCCCTAGTATAAAGAACAATGGCACAAAACAACAAGCTTTATTGACCAATCACAGGCAACAACCACGCGTCAGGCGCCTTCCATCCGAGTCCACCACGCTGGCCACGCCGCTCATTATATACTGCGTCTCATCTATGTCCTTCTCTGGTTGGTTGCCTTCCTTTCCCGCATGCCATTGGATCGCAGAGAGGCACGGGATTGGCTGCA